GCTTTCTAGATTAAATTGGAAATTAAGTCTCAGATTAATGTCATTAATAATAATTAGTGCATATCTGCATACTTATGGATATCTTTATTGAAAAGATAGAGCTAGACTTAAGTTTTGAAAGATTATTACAATATAAATAGAATAGTCAACAATTCAGGCAAACTAAATTTAATGTTATCTTTTTGCAGACATGACCTGAATTTTCCTCCCCAACTCAGTTCCTATAGAGACCAATATGAGAGTATAAACATCTTAGCACAAGAACCATCTTTACTCAGTTGAGATACTGTATATCATAGAATTTCATAGAAACAGGGCAACATGGCACACAGATCAGTGAGAGGTGGACACATCTAATTTCTGATTCTAGTTCTAGCATAAAATAACCTTAAGACCATAAACAAGGAACTACATTTTTCTTGACTGCATCAGCTGTAACTATGGTGGAGGCATTATTGGTATCTGTTGTACTTACCCCTAATGAGCTTTATAGGGATAAAATTTGTAAAGATTCTGTGTTTTACACAGAATCCATCACAGGATTCCTAGGATTGGATTCTGCCATAGTCCTCAAAAGTCCTTGGGGGAACATTTTAAATGAAATAGGTTATTCCCCTTTTATACTTACTTTCTAAGTGTCAAGAGCTTTGGGATCTGCAGATTCAGTCTCTTCACTGCCATTCAGAATCCAAGTGCAGAAAAGAAGCCATTTGCTAATGAAATACTTATCTGCAATACTTTTATAATGTTCCTTGACAATTAATAAAATAAAAATATAAGAAACTATGAGAAGCATATTAGAAGGACTGCCTTTTTCCTGAGATGCTGCTGACAGTGAATAGTCTGAGACATTGCGATTTATTGACTTTTACTAAAAGATGTGTGTGACCACCTGTGATTTCTAAATTGATTCATCCCCTCTTCTCTTAGACCTTTACAGCCATGACTTTCCTTAGCAGTAAAGGGTACATACCGGGCAGTCTAATAATCCAAATAAGAAGACAGATTTTAGGGAAGCAGGAGGTAACACAAATGCACTTGTTGATACCTCAAGGTTTTCATTTTTGTGAAATGCATCGAGATGGCAGCTTTGAACAACTCACATACAAAATTCTTTGAATACTTAGTAGCTAAGTGCTAACATCATTTTTATGGTACAAATGAAGGTAACAACTGAGTGAACTGTGTGGTAAGTAAATGATTAAATGAGCTTTTGAATTTCAAGTGTTGATGCTACAAAGATTAAGAATTGCCCTGAAATATCAAATGGCAAAGACTTCCGTAACCTGAAAACCAAGAGTAAGCGTGGCTAGATGTATAAAGACACAGAGGGAGGACATTCTAGACAGGGTGAGCAACAGATTCAGAAAAGGGAAGCACACGCTCAGGAATGAATCATAAATTTCACATCTCTTCACGAGACAGGAACCAAAAATATGTCTAGGTTAAAGGACAGCAATGTTGGCAAGTAAAGTAAGAAAAGCTACCCAGAAATAGAGAGAGCTAGAGGCAATGAGAGATACAGGACTAGAGAGGCACAAAAAAGCTTGAGAAACCATGATAAAGAAGACAAAGAGGGAACACACTCCAACGCTTGACATTTTCATCTTAGTAGATTTTTAGACTACTTTTATTTCTTTAATTTCAGAGTAACATACATTCTTCAGAACAAGCTAAGCGTTCCTCTTCCAAGGTAAAATATTTCTGTCTAACCAAAAAATAAGTTCCCCATCGCTTTCAGCATGGGGATTTTACAGGTAATTTTTACTGAGGAGATGGAGGGAGACCTGTTCCTATTACGCTTCTGTTTGGAGAAGAGAAGAGGTTTGGTAACTAGGTCATGAGAATCACTAAATTAGTGAAAAATTGTGAATTTCTGAATTGTACTGGTGCCAGATTCAGAGGCACAGAAACGCATAAAAAAGGTAAAATGGGACTTGAGCTTTCTGTTCTAGCCGAACTGAGCTCTGTTTGTTTAACTCAGAGGTGTGGCAAGAATGTGCTCTGTTAGTAAGTGCAACGAACTGCACCAGTGAAGCAAAAACAAATAGCCATATTTGTTAAGTGCAAAAGCGGAAGTGTGATTTGACTGGGCATGAGCTGTTCTGAGTTCTTGAAATTGTGTGCTGATAGCTAGCTTGTTGGATGTTATGTGCCACTGGGAATGATCTTTAAGATTTCAAAAGACCATGCCAGACAAATCTCTCAATCTCTCTCTCTGTCTCTCTGTCTCTGTTTCCCTTTCCCTCTTCTTCTCCCTCTCCCTCACCCCTCTTTCCCTGCCTGATGCCTGTGCATCAAACTGTAAGGTTCTCAGCTACTACTCCAGTTCCATGACTGTCTATTTCCCACTATGGTGATCATTTACTAAGCCTCTAAAACTGTAAGCAAGCCTCCAATTCCCCAATTAAATGATTTACTTTATAAGAGTTGCCTCATTAATGGTGTATCTTCACAGCAATAGAAGACTAAGAAAACATCTAAATTCACTAAATCTCTCTGAACATTAGTCCCCCCATCTGTGTTATGGTGGTACTACTACTTAATAATTAGTAATAATAATAATAATAATAATAATAATAATAATAATAAATTAGGTAAGCCGTGTGGCTACTTCTTCTGCTGATTTTGATGTACATCTTTGATGGTACTTTGATGTCTTCCTTTTCACCTTTGAATTCCTCTCCACTCTAAGTCATCTTAGAGGATGACTACATTACTCTTTATGGTACATTAGATGATAGGTCAGGTAGATTTATCTGTGAAAGAGAAGTAGGAAAGTGAAAGTACTTGGATACTTTTCTGTCTGTGAAATCATCACTTGGGGTTCTGTTATTTTTGTTGTTGTTTTTTGGGGTTCTGTTATTTTATTCCATTCCTGTGTATTGCAATGTGACTGAAAATTATATCAGATGCCATTTCTCCCCAAATAAAGAGAACTTAAAACGACATTGCTCCATTGTAGTAAATAAACTCAACACCCAACAGGATAAAAATAAAAATGTAACAAGCTACATCATGTCAGAAACAAGCCCGGGCCATGCTTGCTTCCTTTCTTTCTTTCTTTCTTTCTTTCTTTCTTTCTTTTCTTATGATGATTATTTTAATGAATACAAAATTAAATTTTAAGTTGTTTTCAAAAAGTTCAGATGACCTGTTTTACTGTTGCTAGGACAATGCTCACTGTGACTGTTGGATTACGTGTTCATTGTCTTTGTTGCACTAGTATCAGATTCTTTTAAAATAAAAAATGAGAGATAATATAATTACATCATTTCCCTTCGTACCTTTGCTTCCTGCAACTCCTCAATGTAACCACCTTACTTTCCCTCAAATTCATGATCTTTTTGTTGTGTGTGTGCATTCGTATGCATGTACGTGTGTGTGTGTTTCTGTGTGTATACTCTGAAAGTTATAAATATAACCTTCTCAGTCCATAGAATGATACTTGTTTGTAAATGTGTTCAAGACTAACCATTTGGCATTGGATAATCAATTAGTATTGCTCTTCCCTGACGAAGACTATTTCTCCCACTCTAAGCATTCCTTAGTTGTCTATAGGTCTTTGTCTAGGGTTAAGGCCTCAAAAGTTTGTCCTCATCCACATTAACATGCATATTGATGACATTTTTTCAGCTCATGTTTAGGTAGTCATGTTGAGGAAACTTCATGGGTGTAGATTCTCTGACATTTCTAAGAGATGCAATCACACAGTAAACTTCCTGTTCATGTGACTCTTACAGTTTTTCCACCCCCCTTTCTCAATGATTTCTGAGTCTTAAGTGTGGGAGTTGAATTGTAGAGGTTTTCTTGATGAGGTGTGAGGGATACACTTAGATGTAGGTGGAATGAATATTTAGAATGTTGTTAGGGATTATGCTGGCTTAGTGAAATGTCAGCTGTAGGTTCTCCGAGATTCATGACTTCACTTTCCCAGGGTCAGTTGACTAGGTTTCCAGTACCAGGCATGATTTCCCTCTTGCTGAGTGGGCTTTAAGTGCAAGTTAGAGAGTTGTTGGTTACCAGCAAGGTGTTCATGACAGTATCACATTCTTTGGATTTTCATTTCATGCTGGTCGCTGCTGTGATTCATATTCATAATAGCTATCAGTGGCTCTCTTCCTTTGGAAGTTTGCATCGTGTCTTTTGGTCCTATGAAAGCTAATCGTGAAGGAGAAGGATTCCAGGTTAGATACAGCTCAGGTTTCCTAAGTCCTGTGTCCAAAGTGCATGGTGCCTTCAGCAATAGAGACTTACCTTCCACCTCTGTTAAGCAAGGACAACAGCAATAGCCTATGTTTTGAGTCTATTGGATAGTCCTGACAACTCAAAAGAGGCTTCTCATGCCTGGAGTTGGGGTTTTGCTAGATAGTCTATGGATATTGTGGGGAATATTGTCAGCCTGAATAGGAAAATTTCATTTAAAGTATATATGTATATGTATGCAGACTTACATGTATAGTGGTATTGTTTCTTCAAGAAGGACACCTAAGGATTATACTTCCAAGGTCACAATAAGAAAGTAATCATACTTCCCCTATCTAAAATCATACAGTATTGAAGTGTTTCATGTAAACTGAGAATGGAACACAAACCTGGGGAGATAGGCCCAACTTCAAGAGAACCCCACAGTAACAAACTTGTGATAAAATAATGAGAATGTCATATTCTCAAGTTCCCCAAATCAGCCAGATAAGTGCCAATGCAAACACAAGGATGCAAGGACATTTTGCAATGCTAGAGAACCAAGTTAAGGAATATATTAATTGTAATAATATCTTTGCTATGGTAAGAGCAACACAAAAACACATCAAGGCACATTTCTACAATTTCTTAACTGATTTACTGTGCAATGTTGGGTCTGTAGTGCATCTTCTTTGAGTCTCCTATCTGTGAGTTAGCCCTAATTGGCATATTCCATATCTCAGTGTAAAAGATAGCCCTAAATATTCACCAAAGTATTACTTAATCACTGTGCTTTTTAATTTTTGTTTGGACAGGAGCCATAATTCCCATTTATCTTGATGAACATACTGAGATATTCAAAATGGGAAGCAACAGTACCAGCACTGCTGAGAGTTATTGCAATGCTACACATCTGACATTTCAGTACTCTCTTTATGCAACCACCTATATCTTTATATTCATCCCTGGCCTCCTGGCTAACAGTGCAGCCCTGTGGGTTCTGTGTCGCTTCATCAGCAAGAAGAATAAGGCCATCATTTTCATGATCAACCTCTCAGTGGCAGATCTCGCTCATGTCCTGTCCTTACCTCTCCGGATTTACTACTATATCAACCGTCACTGGCCATTCCAGAAAGCCCTTTGTCTGATCTGCTTTTATCTGAAATATCTCAACATGTATGCCAGCATTTGCTTCCTGGCATGCATCAGCCTGCAGAGGTGCCTCTTTCTCCTCAAGCCATTCAAAGCCAGAAACTGGAAGCGTAGGTATGATGTGGCCATTAGTGCTGTCATCTGGGTCATCGTGGGGACAGCCTGCTTGCCATTTCCCATCCTGAGAAGTGCTGGGTTAGCCAACAATAGCGAATCCTGCTTTGCTGATCTTGGATACAAACAGATGGACACAGTGGATATGGTCACCATGGTTACAGTTGCAGAGCTGGCTGGATTTGTGATTCCAGTGATCATCATCGCATGTTGTACCTGGAAAACAACTATATCCTTGAAACAGCCACCGATTGCTTTTCAAGGGATTAGTGAGAGGAAAAAGGCACTGCGAATGGTTTTCATGTGTGCTGCAGTCTTCATTATCTGCTTCACTCCTTATCACATTAACTTCATTTTTTACACCATGGCAAAGGAAAGCATCATTACCAGTTGTCCCATTGTCAAAAGCACACTGTATTTCCATCCTTTTTGCCTGTGTCTTGCAAGTATCTGCTGCCTTTTGGACCCAATTCTTTATTATTTCATGGCTTCAGAGTTTCGTGACCAACTATCTCGCCATAGCAGCTCTGTCACCCGTTCACGTCTCATGAGCAAGGAGAGTGGATCATCAATGGTTAGCTAAAATGAAATAATTCTTCAGTCATTAATCTCTTTACCAATGTTGTTTGGTCTTTTCCAATGGTAGGAATTGCCAGGAAAACAGTTTCTTTAATTGAACACTGGAAATAGCAGAGATAAATTTTTACTGTGTGATGGTTGTGGTCACAGGGTTGTGCCTTCACAGATGATAGAGGCACAATATAAAAACTGTGGGAGAAGAAAGGAAAATGAGATCCATCTGCTCCTAATTTAAAATTTGTGGCATTGCATTATTGACAAGTTTTTACATATTTTTCCAACCAAATAGAAATTGAATATGTGTATTTAAAATTGTCTTCTGTAAATAGAAAAATAGTGAGATGCAAGATATATATATTCATCTTTCCAGAAAAGTAAATGTCTTCCATGAAGTAATTTCATCTCTGAGTGGAGTAAAATTTTCAAGTCTAAGATGTAGAACACAGGCAAAGTGACACAAAAAGTCAAAGCATCCAATCAGCACAGAATGAAGGGCATGAAAATTCACTCTTTGAACATTTATAGATGTCTCTCATTTTCTGAGCCGGTACTTTTCTATGTATTTTTGCATATAACATCTCATCTTACCTTTCTAATGAAGTGATATAAATTTGGAAATGCAAATACAAATGTATAATTGTAATATCAGAGAGGATAATTAACTTGACTCAGGATTAAGTATACATGGTATATGCTTATATTATTTATTCCCCCTGCTTATGATTTTATATGTATGAGGTCAGGAGATTAAGATCATTTTAATACAATTTTCTCTTAGATTTGTCATATAAAAATCCATAGGATGGGGATTGGCGTGATTCTGGCTACAGAATGATAAATATGTTGTCCTAATACCATAAGGATCTGCATAGTTTTGATGAGAAGTCCAACATCTCAAGTCAGTTTTATTGTTTAATGTAAGTCATGCAAATCCCATAATTAGAAAGCTACAAAAACTGAGCCACATTGTAGTAAATGTAGGTCTCTTTTGAAAAATTCTCCCATCTTTAATTCTTAAGTATTATTACACGTCACCAGGCAAAATCTCAAGGAGTTTTCTGTTATCGTGACTCACAGAATTGCATTAGAGAGACGTATCATCACATTGTGAATACATGACAGGAATATGTGAGCTTGTTTTATTTTTTTCTGAACTTTTTCAATATTAGTTTGAGTATTCTTGTAGAGTATTTAAATTCAAGGGACTCCTTAACTTCTCAGGTTGACAATTTATTGGTATTATAGTTCTGAAATTTACATAGACATTTGACGTGCACACAAGAGAAGGAAGTGGTAGTCCTTATAGCATACCTTTATGTAGACTAACTAAGGAAGAGGAAGGGGCCACCAAAAGGAGGAATTAAAAAGAACATTTCTTGGTTTCCTGGGTATGAGATAGTTCTGTAATTATAAAGTAATAAAGTGTTTTTAAATTTGGAATTGTGTGTGTTTTATTAGCCAGAATCTGTAGGCACTGCTGACAGCGGCTTCTCAATGTGTTTGGGATTAATGATAGCATTATCACAATCACTGTACCCACCGTCTCACTCTGAGGAGATCACTTTTCAAGAAATTTATTTGGAACTACATATCCTACTCTAGTCTTTGTGGAGTAAAGAAAACTCAGCTCTTATCGTTTGCATTTTCTATGTTTTCTTGCAAATGCATAAGAGTAAGTAGTGCTTCCTGCAGTTTATTGACTAGCATGTAAATTAAACTACGTGCCTTCCATTTTGACCTTCATCTAAAACTAATATTTGTCCATGTTTTCAGTTGTTAGTCTCTAATGTGGTCAAAGAGAAAAATGACAATGTCTAAGAGAGCAATGGTTAGTTTTGAACTTCAAAGACTGGAAAACCTCATATAATGTCAAGGAGAAAGGTGATGGTGATTGAAATGAGACTATTTTGTGTGCAGAACCTGAAACCCAAAACAAGATGCTCACAGTTAGTAATTCTATTAGCTTTCCATGTTCAAATAAAAGCAATTAGCAAGGTTATTTTAAGGTAGTAGAGTAGATAGTAACTATGATACTTACAATTATGTTTATCACAGAGATATGAGGTCAGAAGAAGGGGATAGCAAGTCATACATCCTTGAACTGGCTCTTCAAAAGTCAATTTTAGGTGTAATTGCCATACAGTATACTAAATTCTCTGTAGTATAACTGTTAGAATCCACTTATAAACCAAACTGAATCCTGTAACAATGACTCCTGATAGCTTGGAAAAATGCAAAGAACATTATAACCCATAACAATATATATATATATATATACATTTGCCACATATATTTTTATTTAACTTTTTACACATGTCACTTTCAGTTCCCTCTCCCTCCCCTCCTCCCCCACCCCCAATACTCCCAACCCATCACCCCCATATACCCCCCTCCGTTCGCCAGATGGGGCAAGGGCCTCTATGAGGGATTTTCAGGGTCTGTCACATCATCCCGGGAAGGGTCCAGGTTCTTTTTCATGTGCCCAGGCTGAGAGACCATCCCTCCACGAGGCATGGGTTCCCAGAGTCCTTCTGTATGCCAGGAATAAATACTGCTCCACTCTCCCAGGTCCCACAGATTGCCAAGGCCTCCTCTCTGTCACCATTCTGACAAGAGTGAGATGGTGTATCAGAGATGTTTTGATTTACATTTCCCTAGTGGCTAAAGATGTTGATCACTTTCTCAAGAATCTCTTGGCCATTCTGGACTCCTCTATTGAGAATTCTCTATTTAGTTCTGTACCCCATTTTTTAATTGGATCTTTGGTGTTCTGGAGTCTTGCTTCTTGAGTAAATTTTAGAGATCAGCCCTCTGTCAGATGTGGGGTTTGTGAGTATCTTTTCCTTTTCTGTGGACTGTCGTTTTGTTTTATTGACTGTATCCTTTGCCCTGCAGAAATTCCTCAGTTTCAGGAAGTCCCATTTAGTAATTGTCGATCTCAGTGTCTGTGCTACTGGTGCTATGTTCAGGAAGTGGTATCCTGTACCAATTCATTCAAGGGTACTTCTCATTTTCTCCTCTAGGAGATTCAGTATGGCTGGATTGATATTGAGGTCTTTGATCCATTTGGACTTAAGTTTTGTGCATGGTGGTAGATATGAATCTATCTGTTGTCTTTTACATGCCAGCATCCAGTTACTCCAGCACCATTTGTTGAAGATGCTTTCTTTTTTCCATTGTATAGTTTTAGCTTCTTTGTCAAAGATTAGGTATTCAAAGGCGTGTGAGTTGATATCAGGGTCTTCGATTCGATTCCATTGGTCTACCTGTCTGCTTTTGTGCCAGTATCAAGCTGTTTTCAGGACTATAGTTCTATAATAGAGCTTGCAGTCAGGGATGGTGATGCCTCCGGAGGTTCCTTTTTTTGTACAGGGTTGCCTTGGCTATCCTGGGTCTTTTGTTTTTCCATATAAAGTTAAAGACTGCCTTTTCAATGTTGGTGAAAAATTGTGCTGGTATTTTGATAGGGATTGCATTGAATCTGTACATTGCTTTTGGTAAGATTGACATTTGTACTACGTTGATCCTACCTATCCAAGAGCATGGGAGATCTTTCCATTTTCTGGTGTCTTTTTTAATTTCTTTTTTTAAGGACTCAAAGTTCTTGCTATACAGGTCTTTCACTTGCTTGGTTAGAGTTACCCCAAGATATTTTATGGTGTTTTTGGCTATTGTAAAGGGTGACGTTTCTCTGATTTCTTTCTCATCCCCTTTATTGTCTATATACTGTAGGGCTACTGATTTTTTGAGTTAATTTTGTATCTTGCCACTTTGCTGAAGGTGTTTATCAGCTATAGAAGTTTCCTGGTAGAACTCTTTGGGTCACTTACATAGACTATCATATCATGTGCAAATAGTGAAATTTTGGCTTCTTCCTTTCCAATTCATATCCCCTTGATCTCCTTTTGTTGTCTTATTGCTCTAGCTAGAACTTCAAGGACAATATTGAAGAGATATAAACAGAGTGGACATCCTTGTCTTGTTTCTGATTTTAGAGGAATCGCCTTTAGGTTCCCTCCATTTAGCTTGATGCTGGCTGTTGGTTTGCTGTATATAGCTTTTATTATGTTTAGGTATGTTCCTGTTATCCCTGATCTCTCCGAGACCTTTATCATGAAGGGGTGTTGGATTTTGTCAAAGGCTTTTTCAGCATCTAGTGAGATGATCATGTGGTTTTTCTTTTTCAGTTTGTTTATATGGTCGATTACATTGATTGATTTTTGTATGTTGAACTATCCCTGCATCCATGGGATGAAGCCTACTTGATCATGTTGTTTGATTTTTCTGATGTGTTCTTGGATTTGATTTGCCAGTATTTTATTGAGTATTTTTGCATCAATGTTCATGAGGGAAATTGGTCTGTAATTCCCTATCTTGGTTGTGTCGTTGTGTGGTTTGGATACTAATGTAATTGTAGTCTCGTAAAAAGAATTTGGCAGCGATCCTTCTGCCTCTATTGCGTGGAACAATTTGAAGAGTATTGGTATTAGCTCTTCCTTGAATTTTTGGTAGAATTCCGCACTGAAACCATCTGGCCCTGGACTTTTCTTGGTTGGATGACTTTTTATGGCTGCTTCTATTTCTTTAGGGGATATAGATCTGTTTAAATTGTTTATCTCTACTTGATTTAATTTTGGTAAGTGATATCTATCCAGAAAATCATCCATTTCCTTTAGATTTTCCAATTTAGTGGAGTACAGATTTTCAAAATATGACCTGATGATTCTTTGGATTTCCCCAGTGTCTGTTGTTATGTCCTCCTTTTCATTTCTGATTTTCTTAATTAGCATGTTCTCTCTCTGTCTTTTAGTTAGGTTTGATAAAGGTTTGTCTATCTTGTTGATTTTCTCAAAGAACCAACTCTTTGTTTCATTGATTCTTTGTATTGTTTTCTTTGTTATTACTTTACTGATTTCAGCTCTCAATTTGATTATTTCCTGGCATATCCTCCTGGGTGAATTTACTTCTTTTTATTCTAGAGCTTTCAGGTGTTCTGTTAATTCTCTAGTGTGGCAATTCTCCAGTTTCTTCATGTGGGCACTAAGTGCTATGATTTTTCCTCTTAGGACTGCTTTCAAAGTATCCCAAAGGTTTGGGTATGTTGTACCTTCATTTTCATTGAATTCTAGGAAGTCTTTTATTTTTTTCTTTATTTCTTCCTTTACCCAGGGGAGATGCAATTGAGCATTGTTCAGTTTCCATGAGTTTGTGAGGTTTTCTGCAATTTATGTTGACGTTGAATTCTAATCTTAAGCCATGGTGGTCCGAGAGGATACAGGGGGTTATTCCAATTTTTTGGACCTGTTGATGTTTCCTTTACTGCCAAGTATGTGGTTGATTTTAGAGAAGGTTCCGTGTGGTGCTGAGAAGAAGGCATATTCTTTTTTGCTTGGGTGGAATGTTTTATAGATGACTGTTAAACCCCAATTGATTGATAACTTCTGTTAGTTCCATTGTTTCTTTGTTAAGTTTCTGTCTGGTGTGTTGGGGAAGTCTTATGCTAATAAAGCACTGTCTGGCCAATAGGAATCTAGATAGGTGGGGCTAGGAATCCAGGAGGATTCTGGGTAGGAGAAACACAGGAGAGTCAACATGTAACCGCCATGGGGGTAGGAGCCCAGAACTATTCTCCGGTAAGAGACATACTTAGATTAACAATTATGGGGTAATTACTTAAAGCAGAGCTAGCCAGTAAGAGACAAGCAAGGCCAACAGCTTCATAATGAATATAGCCTCCTGTGTGTTTATTTGGGACTCATGCGGATCTCGAAACAGGCTGGCGCGGCAGAGCCCAGGCGACTGGCGGGGGATAAACCAAAGCGGCTAGCAAGGAAAAAGCTTCTCTTAACAAAATGGTGATCAGGAGTGGGATGATGAATTTCCACGCAGAATGACAAAAGCTTTAAAGGAATTTTAGAAACAGAAGAACGGCGAGAAGCACAGATTTTTGGTAGCAGCATTTTTCTCAGGTGTGCTCTGTTTTGCTAGCGACAAGCCGAGATTCACGTGGCTTGTTTACCGGAGTCTTCCTGACTCAGCATAAAAAGAAAAAAAAAACAGCAAGGTTGTTTTAAGAGACTCTGCTACCGATTGAAAGGGGTGTACGTACAGCTGGAAGTGGCAGCTTTTGCTGGATGTCAGCATGGACTGAGGCGGTAAGCTGAAGTCACGCTTACGCCCGCCATCTTGAAACGGCAGTTTAAAACAGCAGCAGTTTTTACAGATAAGACACGTGGCCAGAAAAACATAAAGATTTACAGTAAAGTCAGACTTGGATAAAGAAAAACTTCTAAAGGTTTATAGTGTGTTTAAAAATATATGTGAGATTGAGAGAGAAACTGAGACGACAAAGTGGTAAATAAATACAAAAGCCGGCGTTGTGGTGGCGCACGCCGGTAGGATTTACTCCAGAGGCAGAGGCAGGCAGGTTTCCAAAGAAA